TGATAGACAATGTTCTACACCGTAACCTCATCTCACATTCCCGTAGAACGATACAACTACGATGCTAGCCAAGCATTCAATTACAGCACGTTCCCTGTCGCTCGGTACGCGTTTCCTTATTTTGCCCCATTTAAACCCTCCGCTTATTCGTTCGAACCATCCAGCTTCGTGAATGAATTCGGGTCAGTGAAGCGAGTCCTGGTGCGAACTGAGGCTAATAATAATGATACGGCAGATTCCATTCAATGCCGTCGTTCTATAGCTGGGAAGAAGTCCTCCAATCTCCCGAGGATTTCTCGTTCAACTCTACGGTGGTCGCTTCCCGGGACCACCATCCTCCGGCTGGAAATTTGAGCTTCCCGAATCCCAACGCGCCGCAAGGCCAGGCCCAGATGACCCAGGGTGTCGAGTTATGGCTCCCGACCCCCTTGACGTCCGATTCCAACCAAACCTTCGCTCAATGGTGTTGGAGCACGCAGATTTTCCAGTCCATGACGATGGCGTCTCAGATCTCGTGGTACAGACGCGGCGCGGGCCAGGGCGAAAACAACCTGGGCGCGCTCGTGTGGCAACTCAACGACATCTGGCAAGGTGTCAGCTGGAGCGCGATCGAATATTCTGGGCGGTGGAAGGTTCTGCAGTACGGGTTAACCACTGTGTTTTCGCCGCTCACGATCTATCCGTTCTGGACACCGGACAATCAGACGCTGGAGGTGATCGTTACGTCTGATCGCTGGGACGCTGTGAAAGGGGCTGCGCAGCTCACTTGGTATGATTGGAGCGGGAACATGCTAAACACGAGCACCCACGATTTCACCGTTCCGACGCTCAACAATTCGTTGATTTCGAGGACGTTGGGTTTGGACTCGATCCTTCCCGCAGGTCAAAATGCGACGGATGTCTGGCTGCTTCTCAATCTGACGGCTCACGTCGACAACAAGATTGTCACCAACGAACAATACGTGCGTTCATTATAATGTTATATTGCGGAGGTGGACTGAAATTTGGCTCGCAGTTCACGCCTGTGTCGCTAGCTGACGCGTCGCTCGTGGACCCGCGGATTCAGATCAGTTCCACTGCAGATCTGACCTTCACTTTGTCTGCCAAGGGCGGCGTGGCGCCGTGGACATGGCTGGATCACCCTGCGGGTACAGTCGGCGTGTTTGTCGATCACACCACCGGTCTGCCTTCCAATGGGTTCTACCTGGTTCCCGGCATTGATCGAAAATGTGAGTTTCCATTCCCCCATCCGATTCCTTACCGTGATATTTACCGAATCCATTTTCAGTGAAATTCCTTCTGAACGAAAAACTGTCCAAGGACACTACTCCTGATCCTGCCGATTTCGTTCTGCGGTCTCTTTGGAACAACACGCACTCGTCGTAGTTAATTCAATGTTCGAATTCAAACACTGGCGATATATTCTCTGTAATAAACTCATGCAGAAATCTGAACATAGCCCACATATGTGCTGAACGAAGGTCGCGCTGGGGGCCCACGACTGCCGTGATCCAACAGACACTTGATTCCAGTCCAAGTTCAACCAGAGCCGGAACAACACAGCCACGCGGCCCTCTTTTTTAAACTCCGCAATCACCTCTCTTGTCGAGCTCTCCGTTTCCACTCATGGTATGCATGCCGCGGCTGCGGAAAATCCCACTATCACTCAACGTGTGCAGCCTCGGCAAGTCTAATTAAATGTTGATAAAATCGGTCGTCTTGAACACTTCGTCCTTGAGCAACAACGCACACAAGGCGCCGGTGCCAGTGCCGCTCCCGAAGCACCCCACGCTCACGGCGGCGCAGACGACGTATACGCCGTATCTACTTACCGTGGAGGAGGCAGGCGACTGCTGGTGCGTTCCTCCCTTCTTCTCTTCCCCTCCATTCCCCCTTCTGCTTAGGTTCTTCTTCTCGTCCTCGCTTCTGGGACGAACTGATACGAAATTTGTTCGGGCAGGCACCAGCAAATTTAAACACAGGCGGCGCGTTCGTGGCGAGCAGCGTCACGGCGCGGCACACTCTAGTCCCCTCCGCAGACGGACGCGGTCGAGAAGCGCTGCGGACGGGATTTGAGGGTGAGTGGGCCAACTTATCTCGTGTCTGGATTTACACCGACGCCGACGCGCATTCACACCCTTCTCTTCTCATCGCACCTGACGCTAACCCGCACCCCCACAGGCCGCTTCCCCGCCTCGATGCGTGCTCGCTCTATCGCGTCGTGCTCGCACGCAAGTGCCCGAGGCCGCTGTTGGAGACGCTTCACCGGCGTTTGGGTGCGTTCCGTTGCGTTTTCTTGTTTGGGGGTTTCTGGGTCGCAGCGTTGGGTTGTGGCAGCGCTTTGCTGCATCTCCCGTTCTCGCTCCCTTCTCTTCCGCCCGCCCTCACCTTCCCCTCCTTCTCCCTTCGTTCCATCCCCCTTATGTCCTCTCACTCCCCCCTCCTTCCTATGGCCTCGCTCCTGCTTTCTCCCGCGCTCCCTCCCCCTTCTGCGCGTCCCCTCATCCCTCGCGCTTCCGCTCCCTCCCTCCCCCCTTCTCTCCCTCCACCTCCCCCCTTCGCTCCCTCCACCTCCTTCCTCTCTTTCCCCACCCTCTCCCTACCGTCCCTCTGTTCCCTCCCTCCTCCGTCCCTCTCCCTCTCCCCCCCTCCTCTCGTTCTCTCTTGCTCTTCCCCATCTCTCCTCCGTCTCTTCTCGCGTCTTACCAACAAAATGATCCCCAGCTACCCGCTCTGCCGCATGTCTGCAGACCTGGTCCCTGGAGGAAGGGGGATGAGGGGATGGGGTGCGTTGCATTTCTTTGCGTATTCTTTGAGAGGGGAGCGGGGGTGTGGTGATGAGGGGGAAGGAGGGGAGGGGATGACGGTGATGTGAGGGGAGAGGGGGGAGAGATGTGGTGGGCGACGTGCGGGTGGGAGGGAGGATGCAGAAAGCGTCGAGGACGCGAAGATGCGTGGGGTGTGCGTCGACTTACCCATCTTGGCTCGGGAGCCGGAGCTGGATTCGCCGCCGATTCGGGGTGGGGAGGAGCAGACTCAGCAGAGCATCAGATGGCGCGGATGTGGTGCGTCGGCCCCGGGGTGGCGCGCTGGTGATAAGGTTGCGAGAGGCCAGGGGCAGGGTGCGAGGTGTGATCGGCAAGCGGGCGGGAGGAGTGGTGCGCCCGGACGCTCGCGAGTTGATACAAGATGCGAGTAAAGTGAAAGCAAAAAATAAGTGCACCCATCAGATCACTATGACCCAGCATTGATTCAAACAAGGAACACCCACTATATGTTTCAGATTGATACAACTTGAAAAGTGAGTGCAGGCTGCTCCGCTCTGGGTCTCATTCCTAGGTAGAGGGGGACGTACATTTATGTCAATGCAAAAGGGAAGAAAAAGAAAAAAGCACCTACGAGCAGGTATGACCCAGCCTGCGTTCGAACCAGGAACCCACTGTATAATTCAGTTCTGGTTGTTACCAGTGTAGGGAGACCGCTCCGCTCTGGGTCTCATTTCTAGGTGGAGTTGGACCTGAATTTACTCTCGCACAGAAGGGAAGAAAAAGATTTCGACGACACGAACAGTGACCCAGCCTGGGTTCGAACCGGGGATACCCACTCTAACCACTCAATTCGATCATGGGGCGTGGGTGCAGACCGCTCCGCGCTGGGTCTTATTTCCCTTGGAGCTCAAGTCAAACTAGATGGGACTTCAGCACAAAAAGAAAGAAAAATTCAATGTCGAAACGAAACATGACCTAGCCTGGATTCAAACCAGGTTCCCACTGCACTATTTTGAAATCTGGATAAGATGTAGGTGCGGACCGCTCCGCTCTGGATCTTTCTCATTCCTAGGTGGAGTTGGACCTACATTCATGCCAAACATCGGCGCAGAACGAAAAGAAAAAAACCGGCACTGCCAGGAGGACGACGCAGCCTGCCAGGTTGAACCAGGGACCCACTGTATAAACCGCTGTAAACACTTGACAACAGGTGTGGGTGCGGACCGCTCCGCTCTGTGTCTTGTTCCTACTAGAACTAGAGATGCAGCAATATTTACTTTAGCAGAAAAAGAAAGAAAAAGAAAAAGAAAGTAAAAAGCACAAGATCATACCAATGATCTGACCCAGCCTGGAGTCAAACCAGGGACACCCACTGTATGAATATGGGTTATATGGCAAATGGGTGTAGGTGCAGACCGCTCCGCTCTGGGTCTTATTTCTTTTGGAGTTCATGTTGGCATAAATGGAACTTGCACAGGCTTCAGAGAAGTAATAGCCAAAAACCGCAGTGAAGATGGCGATAACCCAGCCTTGAGTTGAACAAGGAACCCACTGTATGGAATGCTTAGACAGTATCAACAGAGCGTAGGTGCGGACCGCTCCACTCTGGGTCTTGTTCTTAGGTAGAGGTGAACCCAAATATCCTTTGGCGCAAACAGAAAGAAAAGTAAAGAAAAATTGTGGAGGTGAGAAGAACAACCCAGCCTGGGTTCAAACCAGGGACCCACTGTATAAACCGGCGTGAACACTTGACAACTGAGGGTGCGGACCATTCCGCTCTGGGTCTTGTTTTTAGGTGGAGGTGAACCAATATTTATGTCAACACAGGAGGAAAGAAAAGAAAAGACACTTGGCCGAAAGCGAATAACCCAGCCTGGATTCGAACCAGGAGCCCACTGTATACATTTTAGCTCTCCTCCTGACAGGTTGTGGGTGCAGACTGCTCTGCTCTGAGTCTTATTTCTTTTGGAGTTCAAGTTGAAATAAATGGGACTTGCACAGACTCCACAGAGGTAAAATTTTAAAAAGCAGAAAGAATCAATGGGAATGACCCAGCCTGGATTCAAACCAGGGACCCACTGTATACATCTCAGCTTTCCTTCTGACAGGTGTGGGTGTGGACCATTCCGCTCTAGGTCTTGTTCCTAAGGAATGTGAAGCGGGATTGACTTCACCATAAAAGCGAGAAAAAAAGTAAAAGAAAGTAAAAAGTACAAGATCATACCAATGATCTGACCCAGCCTGGGTTCGAACCAGGGACACCCACTATAATATATCAGCTATAAAAACAGGGTGTGGGTGCGGACCACTCCGCCCTGGGTCTCGTTCCTACTATGTACTGGAGGTGAAACAACATTTACATCAAACACAAAAAGAGAAGAAAAGAAAAAAGATGTGAATTTCTAGAGACGATGATGACCAAGCCTGGATTTGAACCAGAGATACCCACTTTAACCACTCAATTCTATCATGGGGTGTGGGCGCAGACCGCTCTGCTATGGGTCTCATTTCTTTGCAGAGCCAAAGTTGAAAGACATGAGGCTTCAGCGCAAACAGAAAAGGAAATTAGAAAAGATGTGACTTCCCCAACAAGATATAACCAGGACACCCACAGCATCATATAGCCACCCACATAAGAGGTGGTGGGCACGGACCTCTCCACTCTGGGTCTCCTTTCTGGTGGAGATGAACCAACATTTATGTGAACCAAAAAGTGAGAAAGGATAGTTTTCAACATCGATATGACCCAGCCTGAATTCGAAACCAGGACCCACTGTGAAAGTATCTATTGATCCACTTTACAGAGTGTAGGTGCAGACCGCTCTGGGTCTTGTTTCTTTTCGAGCTCAAGTGGAACTCGATGGAGCGCACAGAGAAGTAAAAAAGCAACAAAGTCTTCCAATACGAGGAATGACCCAGCCTTGATTCAAACCAGGGACACCCACTCTATAAATTGAGCTCCAAGATAATCAAGCATGGGTGCAGGTCATTCCGCTCTGGGTCTCATTCCTAGCCGGAGGTGGACCTACATTTACTTCAACCAAAAAGTGAGAACAGGAGAATGCAACAGCCAAACTAATAGAACTATGACCCAGCCTTGAGTTGAACAAGGAACACCCACGGTATGAAATATAAGACACAAGAACAAGGGGTGTGGGTGCGGACCACTCCGCTCTGGGTCTTATTTTTGGTAGACTCGGAACTAGATGAGACTTCAGTAGAAAAAGAAAAGAAAGGAATAGCCACACTCTCTATCTTAGAAAAGGGAAGAAAAGTAAAAAAGAGGACAACATCATGCATGACCCAGCCTGGGTTCGAACCAGGGACACGCACTATAATATTATATCAGCTACGGCACTATAATATTATATCCTGTATAGAAACAGGGTGTGGGTGCGGACCACTCCGCTCTGGGTCTTATTTCTTTTGGAGTTCATGTTGGCATAAATGGAACTCGCACAGGCTTCGAGAAGTAATAGCCAAAAAGAGAAGTAATGGCCAAAAACCGCAGTGAAGATGGCGATGACCCAGCCTTGAGTTGAACAAGGAACCCACTGTATGGAATGCTTAGACAGTATCAACAGAGCGTGGGTGCAGACTGATCTGCTATGGGTCTTATTTCTTTTGGAGTTCATGTTGGTATAAATGGAACTTATAAGTATCCTTTGGTGCAAACAGAAAGAAAAGAAAAGTAAAGAAAAATTGTGGAGGTGAGAAGAACAACCCAGCCTGGGTTCAAACCAGGGACCCACTGTATGCTTTCGTACAGCTCATAGGGTGTGGGTGCGGACCGTTCCGCGCTGGGTGTTGTTTACTTCTGAGTCCGAGTCGAGCTGAGTAGGTTGAATAGGACGCAGCGAGGAGCGAGGAGGGATGAGCGAGGAGAACGGGCTAGCGCTCCGCTGCGAATGGGCCGGATGCAGAGGACTCCATTCTCGGATTACGATATCGTATCCGAGTCGCTTGCGTCGGATCGTGGATACTCACGAGACTGCGTGGAGCGAGGTGTCCCGGCGTCCGTTTCGCAAGAGGTGGTGTCCCAAGTCCGCAAGAAGTGGAGGTGGCGCACTGGTGGCGCTGACAGGATCAATCGCATCGTTGTTTATTTCGCGCAGTCGGACCAAACACGCTCCTGATCCTGATCCTCTCGTCATCACCCGACATATGGTGCAGCGATAAAGCGCGAAACTAATCTTGAATGTCGTCGACGTCGATGTACTCTTCCTCGCCGTCGCCGTCGTCGATGTACACGCCGCCCTCGCCGTACACGCCCTCCTCGCCCTCGCCGTCCTCATCGGCGGTGACGATCCCGATCCCGGGGAAGTCGATCCTGAAGAAGCCGCCGCCGGTGCAGGCGGGGCTGTTCAGCAGCCTGGGGCTCGCGCGGCTGAGTCGGTTTTTGCCGGGGGAGAGGGAGGTGTCGCCGACGGGAGGGTCCCATTTTGGTGCTGGTGCGGGAAGTGGGGGTGGAACTGGGGGCGGGGGAAGTGGGGGAGGAAGCGGGGGGAAGGAAAAAGAGAAAGAGAAGGACGCGGAGGCAGCGCGGGTGCTGAAGCGCGCGCACTTCATCCTGCCCGCGATTGCGGTGGTGTACCCGATCAGCAGCCTCGCGCCGCCGTCCACGCCCGCGCTGCGCGACGAGAAGCGGGCGATTGAGGACCGGGAGCGGGAAAGAAGGAGGCGGGTCGTAAGGGCGAATAGTACCGCGAGTCTGAGCAGTGTGGCGAATGGGAATGACGCGGCGAGTGTGCGGACGCAGAGCAGTGGCAGGGAGGGGGGAGGGGAGGAGGGGGAGTGGTGGGCGATGGAGAAGGTGGAGAGTTTTTACCGCGAGTGCTGTGAGGGCTGCCAGGAGGTGCCGGATGGGGGCATTACTGCTGCGTTCAAGGTCCGTCCTTCACTTTCTAATCTATTTATCTAATTGTTAGTAGAACACGCCCCCCACACATCCAAGGACCGTCGACTTCAGCGGTGTCCAACTGACGTTCACCTCCGCGTCCATCCTGGCCGACGTGCTGAGCATCGAGTGGGGCCTGCGCAAGGCCGTGTTCAAGGAGTGCGATCTCGACGACGCGACGCTGAAGCCGCTGCTGCACGCGCTGCTCATCCCGCGCACGCTGTCCTATCTGTCCCTCGCGTCCAACCGCCGCCTCAAGTCCCCCGCCGCGTGGCGCCTCCTCGGCGCGTACCTCGCCCAGGCGCACGCGCTCACCTTCCTCGACCTGTCGCAGAACGCATTGGACAAGAAGGCCGTGGAGTGTGTCGTCAGCGCTTGGGGGAGTACGCGCAGTCACAGCAGAATAACACGTCGGACAAGGCCTCGTTCGTGTCCCTCTCCGACACCGCCTCGTTCGACGAGCACCCCGCGCCGTCCCCCGCCACCGCGACGCGGTTCTACGGCGCCAACGGCAACGCCGGGAGCGACGTCCAATACGGCCTCACCCCCTCCTCCTCCACCTCCTCCCCCTCCTCCGACCCCCGTGACAAAGACACACCCCGCAAAGGCCTCGTCTCCCTAAAACTCGACGACTGCAACCTCCGCGCCGCCGCCCTCGAGACCCTCGCGCGCGCCGTGCGCACCTCGTCCCTGCGCAACATCTCCCTGCGGCATAATAAGATCACGCCGACGGGGGCGGTGGCGCTGGCGTTGATGATACGGGACTATCCGGATGTGTTGGTGGGGTCGGTGGCGCACCACCACGATACGCCGTTTTCGAATAGCCATACGCATACGGGCGCAGGAGGAGGAGGAGGGGGGGGAGGGAGTATACTGCCGCCCTCGCTGAGCAACGCACATAAACCCCAGGTGCTGGCGCCGCCGCCGAAGCATCCCACGCTGACGGCCGCGCAGACGACGTATACGCCGTATGTCCCGAGGAGGAGGCAGGCGACTGCGGGTGCGTTCCTCTCTTCTCCTCTTCACGTCTTCCCCCTCCTTTCTGCCTTCTCCCCCTTCTCCCCTCCACTCTTCTCCCCCCTTTTTCGGCTTGCTTCTGCGTTTGAGTACAACACCTAACTAAACACCATTTTCTTTTGGCAGGCGCAGCACCCGCAACCACCGGCGCCCCCTTCGTAGCGAGCAGCGTCCTCGGGGGGGTCACGGCGCGGCACGTCCCCTCTTCGGCGTCTTCCGCCTCCTCCGTCTCGTCCGTTGAGTCGCCGACTAAGGCTGGGGCGGGGGCGGGTGCGGGGCTGGGGCTCGGACTTGGTGCGAATGCGGAGCGCGAGCGAGAAGCGCGCGACATTCAACGAGACCGCGACACTCAGCGCGACACTCAACGAGAAAAAGACACTCAGAAGGAGCGCGAAACCAAAGAGGCGAACGGCCCCTCCGCCGCGCTCCTCGACCGCGTGCGCGCGCTCGACCTCCTCCCGCGCGTGGGTGCGCTAAGGACGTTGGATTTAAGGGGGAATGATCTGCGGGTGCGTCTGGGTTTTTGTCGTGTTGTATCTGCCTTCCTTGCGTGGCCGTCTGATTCTTCGTTGCTACGTCATTGCTTGCGCCTTTTTTTTTTTTTTTTTTGCTTTTACTCGACGCCGACGATGACGCCGACGCCGATGCTGACGCCGACGCTCGCACGACGCCGACGCCGATGCTGACGCTCGCACGACTCGCACCCGCTGCCGGGTGTGGATTGGGGTGTGCGTCGGTGCGAGAGGGTGGGATTGGGATTGGGATTGTGCGCGTGCGAGCGGTGTGTGAGCAGGGGCACGGAGCCGGGTTGGCTCGCTGCTTTTGCTGCGATGCGTCGTATGTCGCACACGCACATCACGGGCGTGCGTGCCCTCTGCCTCGTATGCCCTACAGTGACTTTTCTTACGTCTCTGGTCCCATCTCGCACCCACTCTTACTCGACACCCACTGTTACTGTCTGTCCTACTTCACTCCCACCTCGACTGACGCTTCGCACACAGACCGGCATAACCTACATCGCGCAAGTCCTGAAGCGGAACCGCACGCTCAAGGTGCTCAACCTCGCGGAGAACAAGCTCGACGTGGGGTGTTTGGTGGGGTTGGCGGAGGCGTTGGTGAGTGCGCGTTTCTTGCTTTCTTGCGTTTCTGTCTTTGTTTCTGTTTTTTTTTTTTGGTGAAGGGAGGGTTTTGGGTTTGGAAGGCGGGATGAGGAGGGAGGAGCGGGGGAGGGTGTGGTGGCGGGTTTGGGGGTTGTGGGGCGGAGTGGCTTCTTGGGTTTTTTTATGTGGAGACCTGGGTTTGGAGAAGCGGGGGAGCAAGGGGTGTGGAGAGACTTGACGCCGTGGAGGCTGGGGAAGGAAACGAGACGATGGGGAGGTGGGAGGAGGGCGGAGGAGGCGGAGAGACG